TATCACTGTCAGACTCACTGGCCACCCGCTTTACTCCCCGGTAATCTGACTCTACTAAGTCCTCGGGGGGCCGAACCCTGCAAAGTCCTCCGAATCGCTCGGGGCCAAAATGATATCACGAATGTGCTTCAGCTGACGCTGATCCAAGTCTGACTCAGCATCACTCCTCCTTCTCCTGCAACTGGTAGTAGATATGTTGCTGTGACGCTGAGCCTAAACAGGCGTATTTGCATATTTTATTACAAATCCAGTAACAGATTTATTTTCCTTTAGATTTGCAAAAGAACTATCACAATATATTTCTAAAGATTCTTTATCATCTGGACAAATTCTAAAAACTTTTTCAGCAGTTTGCTTTCAGTATCTCAGAACTCTTTTTAGTAGTAATTTCATTGATTAGTCCTTAAGGCCGTATCACAATAAGAAACAGAACAACAAGGCCTGGCAAGACCCAATCGCCCTCCACGTAGCACGTTAAAATAAGACACTTATAACGATACAGTAAATAAATGTGATAACCGCTGGGTGTTTAGAATGACCCTCCTCTGTGGCCCTATTTTCCCTGTTTGTGTTAATAGTAGCCCTCACTGGAGAGATATTCCTCCTTTGTGTTGAAGATGACTTTGGCATTCTTGTCCCGGCCCCAAAACCAGCCCTCCAAAAGGTTCTGGTTTTGTATCCTTTCTGCTGGGCTCTGTGTTTTGATGGACTAGGGCTTGTAGCTCCCTCAGAGTTATCCCCGGGGGCACAAACCCCTCCCTTTTGGCAGAGGAGGAGTATCCGGAGTCTCGCCGGGGGGACATGGGAGCATCATCCGCTTTTTCCGCTTTCGGTTTTAATCCGCCGGTCTCTGTGGCTACGTGCTGGCCCCTCTCGACTTAAAGGGGCAGATGCTCGTTCCCCAGTAACTCCAAGGCCATCCGCCTTTTTAAGGTTCTGCCTCAGTCCATGACGTTCAGGGAGAGATAGGCAACGTCGCCGGCTTCTATTTCCACCAGTCAGGAATGCCTCAGTCGAAGATGTCTGGCCCCCCTCCAGGATGGCCGAGATGTCAGGGAGTTCATCCACCACCAGAGGAGCCTCGGCAAGGCCCACGATGTGATCAGCCGGCCCAGTCCCCTTCCTGGCTGACCATGGGCAACCAGTTGGGTCCTGGTCAAAGGGGCATTCTCTGCCAAAATGGCAGTCATGTTGGACCGAAGCGGCCGGGCCAGCAGTCGATTGCCAACTCTCCGGACATCGATCGAACATCGGCGTCGGCAGTCCCCATCTCGCTCCCTGGTTTACTCTGTCATAAGTACTTTTAAAAATATTAAATAGGTTCTTTTATTCCGCTTTTAGTGAAACAGGTTGCATTAGGCGGGATCGAGAGCAGGGCCTCCTCGGACGATCTCAAGCTCCTAGTGGGTTCGTAGGAAGAGATGCGTTCGGACAGATAAGCTGGGCCGGAACCATTGAGGGCTTTCTAGGCTAAAGCCAGCACGTTGAATTGAGCCCGGTAGCAGACTGGCAGCCAGTGGAGGTGGCGCAGCAGAGGAGTGGTGTGCTCCCTGAGCGCTGCTCCTCTTCGCAACCTGGCTGCTGCACGCTGGACCCTAGTACGCATGCCCAGTGTGGAGCACATCTCACCACGCTCAAACAGTGGCTGCTGTGGCTCTGAATGAGACATGCCGCATTATCACGGGTTCCTGCGCCCTACACCACTGGAGAAATTGCACTGTTTAACCGGTATTGCACTGCCTAGCATCCGCCGGGAAGGAGCGGCCAAGAGTGAAAGGACCAAGGCAGTGCTAGAAAATATATTTTTTATTAAATAGTTTTTATTAGATGTTTCGTGACATAACATAACATTTCGACATACAAATAATACAAATGATACAAATATTACAGTCAGGGATGTAGGGGAGGGGAGGGGAGGGGAGGGGGGGGTAAAGTGAGGTTAGGGGCTGGAAGAAGGGAAAAACATCAGGTTGCAATGGGGGGAGACAGTGAAATACATATATCTGTTGGACTTCCTCAATAGTCCACAGGGTCAAAAAAAACTTAGAAGATAACACTTTATTACTCTTTGTTGAATTTCAGTTGCCGCCTTTCCTTTCATCCTAGCATAATATTTTTACTCTCTTTTAAATATAGCCTTAATGGATGCCAGTCTATCCTTCTTTTCTTGCTCGTGTCGTAAATCAGATTTGCCAACGAGTCCATTTCCACAAAGTCTCTGATTTTGAGCAGCCAAGCATCAATTGTGGGGAGTTCTCTGAATTTCCATTTGCTTGCCAGAACTGTTCTGGCAGCTGCGGACATATGATATAATAACCTTTCATTGTTATGATCTAGCTTAAAGTCTAATAGATGCAATAAATAATATTCAGCCTTACATTCAAACTTAGTCTTGGTAATTTTCTGCACATGCGAGTGTACCTCCCGCCAAA